AATGCTAGAGCTACATCATTTTTCTACCAAGAGAGAGCTACTAGCATCAGCAGTTCAGCAGTGGCAGCGCCCACAAGTGGAGCAGTTATTGGGGTTCTCCTACTAATTTTGCTCGTCGCAGTTTTACTCATCGTCTTTATCAGGTATTATAGTAATTTTTCACGAACAATTTTGACAAGAAGTGTGTGGAGTACAGTCTATCAAGTTATATTTACTGGCATACACTAAAAGTGTTGTGAAGCATAAATTAATCACTATTACTATTTCATCTGTGCAGGTACAGGTCAGGAAGTGGTGATATTCACACCTCAACTAACGAGGCCTATGGGAAGGTGGGGGGAGGAGAGAGAGAAGAGGGATATGAGCTGGTGGACATCTCTCATGGAGAACCTCCTCCTCCTCCAGCTAAACTGGAGGAGATGTATGAGGTTCCCTTGTCCTCTGCCCCTCCCCCCAGCCAGCCCCTCCCACCATCCCTCTCCCTCATACTGATGATGACACAGAGGAGAAAGACACTCCTGTCTATGATGTCATTCCTGGAGATATGTGACTCTACATTCGTGTGCCATGGCGTGAATTTTGACTGCACTTGTCACAATAGTTTTTTCTGTAGCTCACTAAGATTGCGCCGAAGAGCGCACGCGCAATAAGTCGCACGCCGCGCCCCCGGAAGCGGAAACAAGCGTTTGCTTCTCGGCTCAGCTCTACTTTTCACTCTGCGATGGATTCGAGATTTGTGCTTTCGTTGAGTCTCCTCTGTAGTCTGCAGGTTTGCTGTCAGGCCTTTCCTCGTCTTTCGTTTGGGAATGATGATGCTATACCCAATCATGGCTATGTAGACCTCGGAATGATTGGAACCAGTTATAGCAATAGAACTCAGTGTCGCACTGATCTGGAAACATGTTGCACTCAAGATGATTCTCATCGTGGAAATTGGTATTTTCCTAATGGTGACCCTATGATGAATAGTGGTGGAGAATCTGGTATGTTTTATGAGTCTTGGAAAAAGAAGAGAGTAGACCTTCGTTGCAATGATTGTTCTGCTTCACCAACTGGTATATACCGTTGTGAGATTCCAACCAATGCTGTCCATGATGATACAGACATCTCAGTGAGAGCCACAGTCTATGTTGGACTGTATACTAGTGGAGGTAAACTTGTTAGCCAGAAAATTGTGGTAGCTTACTGACCAAAATACGATGGTAAGGCTTTCTTTTAAAAATAGGAGGGAGTGTCTCAATATCTGGAGGAGTGACATTTGACCCTGACCAGGGTACCCTCACCTGTATCTCCACTGGTGGACCTGCTACCACTGTCACTTGGACCAGAGACTCCACCACTGTCACCCAAGGAACCCAGACTGTGTTGAATGAGCCAGTAGTGGCAGTGTGAATGTTAATAATGAAAATACTAACAGCCACACACTGACTAGTCAAGGACATATACCATATCGATTGTAGCCACATCATCAACAGACCTAGTCAGTGAAAGTATTGCCACCAACACTGTTCCCTTGGGTAAGAAGGAATAATAATACCACAATTTTTCATGACTGATTTTTTTTCACAGATCCATCTGCTCTTGTCCTGTATACATCTCCAACAGTCACATCTACTACCATCACCATCACTGGTACGGTTCCCACTGACTCAGTGGTGACTGGCTTTGTAGTACAGTGGCAAAGAGACACGTCAGTTGGCTGCTCCTTTTTAAATCAGTGAAGTTTTGCTGTAAATCAAGGTTTTAGTAGCTAGTTCATACAGAATAACTGGACTAAAGCCAGGGAATTGGTACACCATAACTGTTACAGTCTTTAATACAGCTGGCTTTGCTCCAGTCAGTAATGCTGTAACTGCAACAACTGAAGAATCGGGTAAGAGGCTCAGACAATATGTATATACATACCTACCCTGTTATTCATTGTTGTTAATACACAGATCCTACACAAGGTCCCAGCTCAGTCAGAAGTGGTACAGTCACTGCCAGTAGCATAACTCATACTGATGCTGACACAGAGGAGAAAGACACTCCTGTCTATGATGTCATTCCTGGAGATATGTGACTCTACATTCATGTGCAATGGTGTGAATTTTGACTATAGAGCTCACGATGATTGCGAGCGCACGCGCAATAAATCGCCGCGCGCTCCCGGAAGCGGAAACAAGCGTTTGGTGGTATAATTCCACGGCTCAGCTTCGTATATACATTTTCACTCTGCGATGGATTCGAGATTTGTGCTTGCGTTGAGTCTCCTCTGTAGTCTGCAAGTTGACTGTCAGACTTTCCCTTATGTCTCCTTATCTATGGGAGCTGGGCTACCTAACCATAGTTATGTAGACCTTGGAACAGTTGGGACAGATTATAGCACCAGTGTTTGGTGTCACACTGATCTGGGGACTTGTTGCAGATATGAAGATGGTCCTCATCGCGGACAATGGTATTTCCCTGACGGTATAGCTCTGCAGACAGATGGAGATATTTATGTGTTTCAAAAACCTCAGAGGATTGAACTACGTCGCAATAATAGTGCCACTTCTCCAACTGGTATATATCGTTGTGAGATTCCAACCAATGCTGTCTATAATGCTACAGACATCTCAGTGAGAGCCACAGTCTATGTAGGACTTTTTACTAACGGAGGTAAAGGGTCATGCCCCAAATTATTTTGGCAACAAAGAATTTATATGCAGTAATGTAACATGTGGAGGCTCTTTCTTTTTTTACAGGAGGGAGCATCTCAATATCAGGAGGAGTGACATTTGACCCTAACCAGCTGACTCTCACCTGTATCTCTACTGGTGGACCTGCTACCACTGTCACTTGGACCAGAGACTCCACCACTGTCACCCAAGGAACCCAGACTGTGTTGAATGAGCCAGTGACTGCACAGTACACCCACACTCTGACTGTTACTGTTTCAGGAACATACACATGTAATGTGTCTAATGCCAAGCCGTCATCTGCATCAGCTAGCATCACATTAGGTATCAGCTTGCATCATTATAAGATTTTTGGTGCCTCAATACTCAAGACACGTATTTCTGCAGGTCCATCGCCTCCCACTGGCGTGACAGCAGTCCAAGATGGTCCAACTAGTATCACAGTGACCTGGACTCCTCCTTCTCCACTGGGAGATACTACTGGCTACAGGATCTCCTATACTGCAGGAGGAGGTAGTATCAATGTTGCTGGTGGAAGTACTAACAGCCACACACTGACTGGTCTTACCAATGGAAGGACATATACAATATTCATTGTAGACCTAGTCAGTGAAAGTGTTGCTACTACTGCTGTTCGCTTGGGTAAGCAGGAATGATACTAACATTTAATTTTTCACACTACTGAAATTTTTTTCACAGTTCCATCTGCTCTAGATCTGCATACATCTCCAACAGTCACTGACACTACCATCACTATCACTGGTAGTGTTCCCAGTGGCTCAGTGGTGATTGGCTTTGTAGTCCAGTGGGAAAGAGACATGTCAGTTGGATGTTCCAATAGGAATCAGCAAAGTTTTCCTGTAAATCAAGGTTTTAGTGGTTCATACGCAATAACTGGACTAGAGCCAGGGAAGAGGTACACCATAAATGTGACAGTCTTCAATGCAGCTGGCAGTGGTCCAGTTAGTAATGCTGTAACTGCAACAACTATGCAGACAAGTAAGAGGCTCAGTCAATATTGTATGACTTATCCCTGTGATATTCATTATTATTCTATACAGATCCTACAGGACGTCCCACCTCAGTCATACGTGGTACAGTCACTGTTGGTAGTATAACTGCCCATTGGGGAGAGGTGTCTTGTCTTAACCGTAATGGAGAGATAACTGGTTACAGAGCACAGGCTGTTAGAAATGTAATAGTAGAAGGAACTGCTAATGTCAGTGGTGGTGCTAGACAGGCTACAATCTATGGATTGTCTCCATCAACCACATACACTGTTCAAGTGGCAGCAGTGAATGGTGCTGGAACTGGTCCATACAGTGGTGTATCTGTCAGGACTAGTGGTAAGTTTGGGAGGGCTAAATAAGGCGAAGTTTTATGAGTGGTGAGTTTAGGGCTCAAAAGTAAAGTATTAGCTATGTATGAGTGGAATTGTGACGGGAGTCTCAATCAGTGAGGGGTGAGAATGTTTTGACAGTGTAGGCAAAAAGCCATTCCTAAGGGTCTACTAACTGCTGAGACGTGAAGGCATACCCACTAAGTTGTGTAGACAACATCCATTACCTACACAAAAACAATTCTGGCTTTTATACACCTGTTTTGTATGCCAGTGTGTAGGCACAGGTTTTCTCTGCCTTAGGATAAACCTTTCTCAACAGATGGACTTAGTACACAAGTTATCTCCTCATCCTATACATCTCTGACAATCTCATGGACACTGGAGGAGACTTTGACAGCTACTGGCTACACCATCTCCTACTCCAACACTAACACATGACTGTTTCACTGACTCCAGAAGTGGTATAACTACTAGTGGGACATCATATCAACTGACTGGTCTAGAGGAGGGAACTCGAGTATTCTATCACTGTCACTGCCACTCTGACTGGAGGAAGGACTGAACAAGATACTGTCACAGGCACCACAAGAACTGCTGGTCAGTCTATCTCTCAGAGTCTCTTCTCTCCTTCATTCTAAACTCTTTCTCACTCCCAGCTCCATCTGCCCCTCCCTCTTCTGTGAGGTTGTCAGTGAATAGTTCCACTAGTATCAACGTCAGTGGGGACCGGTGGACTGCAGGCATCGGAATGGAAGGATAACAGGCTACTTTGTGAGGTATAGGGAAGAGGGAGGTCGTCAGAGATACAAGTTTCTCTCTGGAGACTCCAGTGGAGGAATGATCACACTCAGTGGACTGACTAAACAGACAGTCTACACAGTTGAAGTGGCAGCAAGGACCAGTGCTGGTACTGGAGTCTACAGCCAACCACAGAATATTGAGACTCCTGATAGTGAGCATTCACTTTCTGTTTCAATACTTTGAATGATAATTGTGTATGTAGATGTCTTCCTCAGTCTGAATGGAGCTGTCATCCCCAATCATGGCTATGTGGATATCAGTGATATTGGCTCCACTGACAACACTGCTCTACTCTGTATTACTAACCGTCCTGGTACTCCTACTTCAGGAGACTGGTTTGCACCAGATGGGACTAGAGTAGATGGTATTGATGTTCCAGGAGTTACCAGAAACAGAGGTCCTATGGTAGTGAGACTGAGGAGGACCACTGGTACTGCACCAGAGGGGATATATTGGTGTTCAGTAGAAGATGCTGCATCCACACTTCAGACTGTCTATGTTGGACTGTACAACTCTGGAGGAGGTAATGTTTTGGAGGATTTTTAATGTGCATTATACTGGCACTCTCTATACTCAGGGCATCTAGCATTGTCTGGTGGTATGAATTTCACTCTCCATAATGACAACTCATTCACCCTCACCTGTATCTCCACTGGTGGACCTGCTACCACTGTCACTTGGACCAGAGACTCCACCACTGTCACCCAAGGAACCCAGACTGTGTTGAATGATGCAGTGACTGCACAGTACACCCACACTCTGACAGACAGAACAGCAGGACTCTACACATGTTTAATAGCTAACAGTGTTTCAAATGTTTCAGCAAAGTTACCTGTGCAAGGTGAGACTGAGTAAGTTCCATAGAATAGCAAAATTTAACCATAATACTAGGTCCCTCTCCTCCATCTAATGTGGAGTGTCTCAGAATGGGCTGAACAGTCTACTGGTGACCTGGACACCATCAGAAGGACCCAATGTTACTGGCTACACCATCTACTACCACCAAATAATGGAGGACTTAGTGGATCAGTGACAGCTGCTGAGACAGATACTAGCGTCGTCATCACTGGACTAATTGCAGGAGCAACCTTCTCCATCAGTGTATCAGCCGACTCCAGTACACTATCAAGTTCTAGATCCCGAGGACCAGATACTTTAATAGGTATACTACTCTTGAGATTATTGCCATCACTGTAAATCTCATTGTTTACATGTAGTACCAGCGACCATCTCGCTCACATCTTCTCCTCCCTCCCCCATGATGTCTGGAGCCACTGTCTCTCTCACCTGCTCCATTTCCCTGCCCATAGATGTCACTGATGCCTCAGGCATACAGTGGAATGGGCCTGGAGTAACTCCTACCCCAGTTAACTCTATCATCAGTGGAAGAATGATTTCCAGTGTCCTAACTTTCAGTGGCATATCAACTTCTCAGAGTGGATTTTATAGATGTAACTTCACTCTTGGTGGATCCATCTCCACCAATATCACTATTAATGTTTTAGGTAGGTGTCTCTAATAAGCAGATAGTAATGTTGCTTATGAGGTTATCTCTTGCAGATCAAGTAGTCTTTTTGCCTGCTGTTAGACCAGATGCTACCATCATATCTTTATCATGGATCCCTGCATCTGGTGTTCCAGTCACTACCTACAACATCTCCTATTCAAACACTAATAAGAAGTGTTTTGATGACAATAAAGCGATGAGTGTTGAAAACCAAACACTCAACTCTACTCTGGAAGAGTTAGAAGAGCACACAGAGTATTTGGTGAAAGTTGCAGTTTGGCACGAAGGTCGTGTTGTTGGGAGTAACAGTACCATGGTTACTACCAAGCCAGTAGGTACTGTATTGTGAGTGTTTTGATGCAACAACTAATTACAGTTTCATTTTCAGCTCCATCTGCTGGTCCCTCTTCTGTGAGTGTGGTTGGTGTTACATCATCCACCATCACTGTGATGTGGGGAAGTGTACCATGTATCCACCAGAATGGAGACATCACTGGCTACTCAGTCCAGTACAGAGCAGTGGGGAGTGAGAACAAGGATACCAGTGGAAACCAGTGAAACTGAAATTACTCTACTAAGTTTGACACCAGAAACAGACTATGAGATAAGTGTGGCTGCTGTTAATACTGAAGGAATAGGAGTTAGCACAAACACTTCAGCAACAACTTCAGCAGGTAGTATAGCTGTACACATATTGTATGCTCACATGCATAGAGCTACGTCTTTTTTTACCAAAGAGAGAGCTACTGGCATCAGCAGTTCAGCAGTGGCAGCGCCCACAAGTGGAGCAGTTATTGGGGTTCTCCTACTAATTTTGCTCGTCGCAGTTTTACTCATCGTCTTTGTCAGGTATTATAGTACTTTTTCACTTTCACAGACACTTATTGTTTGTGTGTCCATAACCCAAGGTGGAGGAGAAGTCACAGAGGATCAGTGAAAGTGAAATCCAAACCACTGCCACCTCCCAAACCATTGAGGGAGAGAGAAGAGGAAGAGAAGGGAGGGAGTCAGAGTGGACTGGAGATGAAAGATTTTGAGGAAAGCAATGAAGAAGAGAAAGAATACTACTTTGAAGATCCATCCAACATAGGCAATAATTATAACTAAAGCGAAATTTAATAGTGTGTGTCAAACTCTCCTATTTTGTAGTGGTTTCTCGCAGTGATGTCCCTGTGGCTGAGTTCCCGGAATATGTGAAACTGTTGCATCAAGACAGAGATCGCAAACTGGAGGTCGAGTACAAGGTTTGACTAAACTTTCAATGTAATCTTTCAGTATGCTCTAGTGCTGTGTGTGTCGTGTGTGTGTGTGTGCGTGGTGTGTGTTCTAGTCATTGGAAAAGCTTCCTGCGGCATCTACGGAAGCTGCAAAACTCGCCTGCAACATCAGTCACAATAGATTCAAAAACATCTTCCCCTGTGAGTAAACCCCTGGTAGTTAGTACTCTAATGACTCACATTCCACTGCAGATGATCACAGCAGGGTCCAGTTGAAGGGAAATCCAGCAGAGAAGGGCTCTGACTACATCAATGCTTCATTCATTGATGTGAGCACAACTTCATGCGGCCTCTTACATATATGTACATGCAGAGAGTCGCTATAAAGCACAATACACTAGGTGGCTATAAAAAAAACTGCCTCAAAGAAAACTGCCTAAAGTTACCTACAGACAGCTTCATAGAAACTGCCTGAACAGTTCACACAACGGGATGGGGGTCTATATGGATGAGAGCATAGGTGTGAACATAAAACTTGTTGATGGTTGATGTGCTGGTCAACCAGTACAATGAGAACCCATCAACCCAACCATAACTGAGACAATGAGGCTCTGATAGCAGTGGTGCCGGAATGTCTCTACATTCCCACAATTACAACTGTGGTTCAGACGAATGTCTCACTATTCCACAGGGGTATCCAGAGAAGAAGAAAGCTTACATTGCCTCACAAGGTGACACTTTCACCACACTTCTGCTCTTTCACTTACATTCATACAACTTATTCTTGATTTGTTAGCCTTACTTCTTTCTCTTTCATATTAGCCTTACTACATTCTCTTTTACTTACATTACTAACGCTACCCATTCTTCCCTTACACTTACATTATTTACGTTACTCCTTCTTTCTTTTCTGTTTCTTGCCATCATTTTCGACACTGCCTCACGTAGGCCCAACGGAGCTGACAGCCAACAGATTCTGGGAGATGGTGTGGGACTATCAGATCCCTACCATCGTCATGCTCACTCGCTGTTTCGAGGAC